AAAAAGAATGACTATAGATTAAATACCTTCCTTATCTCAATATAAATTTATTTATCAACGATTGCTATGTGACAGTTTTGTAAATTCTCAGGTATCTGTTTTTTAGCAGTTCTCTGGTAATCCAATAGTTGATTCTCAAGTCAGGAGATTTAAAGGAAGAATTTGGTTTTTCCTTTGTTTTTTTGAGACAGGGTCTCTCTACATAGCCCTGGCTGTCCTGGAATTCACTATGTAAACCAAGCTGGCCACAAAACCACAGAGATTGACTTGCCCATCCCCCCCTACTGCCTGGTGCTGGGATTGAAGGTGTGCACCCCCCTGTCCCTCTTCCTTCCCTTCCTCCAGTCCTCCCTCCTTCTCTCCTGTGTGTGTATATTTAGATAATATATACACTCTCAGACACATGTATATACAGATTGTACCTTGGAGGAAGAAAAGACATGGTGGTCGCTGAGTCAGCAGGCAGAGGGAAGATTGGAATCTCACATTCTGCTTCTCTCATGTACAAACAGGCCCCATTTTCCCAGGATTTCTCTCTTACAGGACATTGGCTTGGATAAGTAGGTACCTCATTACATGGTCAATGGCAGAGATCCGCTTAAAGTAATACTTTGTCATCTCTAAGGGTCAAGAACAAATTACTTAAGGATGTTTATTATCTAGTACTCATAATCAGTTGAACTCACATTTGTGTGTGTGTGTGTGTTTGAGGCGGGAGGGAGGAAAGGGTTCATGTAACCGAGGACAACCTTGGGTTTCTGAATCCCTTCAGTGTGAGATTATATGAGTGTGCCACCATGCCCAGTTTATGTGTTGCTGGGGTTGGAACCCAGGACTTCATAAATGCTGGAAAACACTCTACTGGGAGCCACGCCCCCAGTCCCAGTTACCTTGGTTAGTGTGAGAACATGTCTCACTGTATAGCCCAAGCTGGCTTGGAACCTCAGACCCTACTGCCTCAGCCTCCAGGGCTAGGAAGACCGCTGTGTGTTTCCACACTTGGCTTGGCTATTAATTATTTGTTTGTCTATGTGTATTTATGGTTTTGAGGGGACTGAGGAATTGAAACAAGGACATCAAGTGCTCTAAGAGCATACATTAAAACTAAGCTTCAGTTGCACACTAACCCCCCCCCCCCCTTTCTGTCACAGGGTCATGTTCTATAGTCCAGGCTGGCCTTGAACTCACCATCCTCCTGTCGCAGCCTCCCAAGCGCTGGGACTATAGGTGTACCATACCAGGGTTAATACTATTGACATATGTTTGGTAGCACATTGAATTTCCCATGACCTCTTGCATACTTCAGTTTCTGTCTGGCTACAAGAACTGTTCCTCGAGGAGAACTAGATCACTCAAGAAAAGCTTCATCTGTCTCTTCTAAATTGCACCAAAGGGGCTTAGAAGTGAGGGAAGCTTCAGAGTTGTCTGCTAAGCTGCTGTGAGACTCACTGACATCAATGAAGGAAGCAGACTGTAGAAGCAGGGTTTGTATAATAGATACTTAAATATTAAGGGCAAGCTGGGCGGTGGTGGCACACGCCTTTAATCCCAGCACTCGGGAGGCAGAGGCAGGCGGATCTCTGTGAGTTCGAGGCCATACTGGACTACAAGAGCTAGTTCCAGTACAGGAACCAAAAGCTACGGAGAAACCCTGTCTCGAAAAATCCGAAAAAAAAAAAAAAAAAAACCAAAAAAAAAAAAAACAAAAAAACCCCCAACTATTAAGGGCAAAACCTTTTCCTCTGTGGTAAAGAAATGGGAAGATAGGGGGCTGGAGAGATGGCTCAGTGGTTAAGAGCATTGCCTGCTCTACCAAAGGTCCTGAGTTCAATTCTCAGCAACCACATGGTGGCTCACAACCATCTGTAAAGAGGTCTGGTGCCCTCTTCTGGCCTTCAGGCATACAGACAGAATATTGTATACATAATAAATAAATAAATAAATATTAAAAAAAAAAGAAATGGGAAGATAAACATGCTTGTGATGGCTACTTATTTATTTATTTTTTGTTTTGTTGTTTGTTTGTTTGTTTAATTTTGAGACAGGGTTTCTCTGTAGCTTTGGAACCTGCCCTGGAACTCGCTCTGTAAACCAAGCTGGCCTCAAACTCGCAGAGATCCACTTGCCTCTGCCTCCCGAGTACTGGGATTAAAAGTGTGTGCCACCACTGCCCGACTTTGTGATGGCTATTCTTGGTTGTCAACTTGCCAACATTAGAATGAACTAAAATCTGAAAATGAAGGGCACACTGGAGGAGGCCGCTTGTTCTTCCCAGCTTCCCAGCTAGCTGAGAACCGAAATAATCACAGAAGCCGTATTATTTAAATCACCATTACCTATAGCTTCTTATTGGCTAACTCTTACATATTAATTTAACCCATCTCCATTAATCTGTGCATCACCACGAGGTCATGGCCTACCAGCAAAGTTCCAGCATCTGTCTCTAGCGGCTCCATGGCGTCTCCCTGACTCTGCCCTTCTTTCTCCCAGCATACATACTAGCTTTCCCCGCCTACTTCTGTTCTTCCCTGCCATGTGCTCAAAGTAGTTCTTTATTCATTAACCAATAAAAGCAACACACAGACAGAAGGACCTCCCACACCAGCACACCAGTGAGGGATTTGTCTTAATTAAACCTTTTGATGCGGGAAGACCCATCTTTAATCTGGATCTTTCCATGTGGGAAGATCCACGTTTAATCTGGGCCACACCTTCTCGTGGCGGCCTCTACAAAGGACATGGAAGGACGAAGCTTCTGCTCTTTGCCTGCTTGCCCTTGCTCTTGATGGCAGCTTCATTCTCAGTTGCCATCAAGTGAAAACGTCACACCTACTTCTTCAGGATCCCAGCAAATACTGAAGACAAGCTGAGACATCCACCCTAACAGACTGTGTGACTGCTAGATCCTTGGACCTTCCGTTGGACAGTCATTACTGGACCAGCCGGGCCTCAGCCTGTACACTACTCTAATTGTATACGTATGTACAATGTATAATAGAATATATATGAATCATTATACATTACTTATATGAATATATGTGTAAATATTTATTCAGGGTGATGAATTCAGGGTTGTGGGATTAACAGAGATTTGAAAGTTGCTCTAAGAGACTGCTCTTAAGAGTTTCCAAAGCAAATCTCCAAAGTTCTATGAATGTAGCTGGGAAGGAGTTAATGGAATGGTGTCATTCCTGCGGGAGGAAATACCGGCTGGTACTAATGTCCTTGTCTGGGCACACAGGTGACACTGTCCTAGGGGGTTCTAATGGAAATCAGAATGCAGTGTGCATGACTAGGGGTGTGTACCAGGACCAAGTGTTGCTCTTAACTGAGCTAGAAGATGTCCCAGACAAGAGGAACTGTAGACACTCAAGTTTGAGATCTTTTTTTCCCCCGCTTTTTACATTTTCTTTGTGACAGATTGGATGGTGTGCACATAAACAAAGCATCTGATGTAGCTTTTCCTTCTCACTGAGATCCTGGCTGCGGCTTGTGGTGGCCATTTTTTCTAATCAGAAGTACAGCTGTTTTTTGTTTGGTTTGGTTTTGAGACAGGGTTTCTCTCTGTAGCCCTGGCTGTCCTGGAACTCACTCTGTAGACCAGGCTGACCTCAAACTCACAAGATTCACCTGCTTCTGCCTCCCAAGTGCTGGATTAAAGGCGTGCGCCATCATGGCCCAGTTAGAAGTACAGTTTTCTTTTCTAATTTATTTATTATTTTTATTTGAGTTGGTGCTTTGCCTGCCTGTATGTCTGTGCGAGGGTGTCAGAGCCTGGAGTTACAGACAGCTGTTAGCACTTGCACAAGCCTGGCCACCTGAGTTTGATCTCCAGCCCTCACAGACGAAGAGAGAACCAGCTCCCGGGAGTTGTTCTCTGACCTCCGCGTGTTCAGTGTGCACACATACATGCATCACACACACACATATAAAATTAGAACTCACTTATTTTACTGTGTTGCAGGGGAGATGAACCATTATTCTGTGGTATAAAACATACCTGGTATTTAAGGCCAGCACACCAATCACACTTGTAACATGTTTTCTCTCTTGGCACTGAGGCGGGAGTAGGCAAACTTGCGCTGGCAATAAGGAAAGAAGATCCAGAAGTATGCCAAACGCTCTGCCAGATCCCTGGAATGATTTTATTTATTGGGGTCAGAGCACGGCACTCCCATGGAGGTCAGAGGACAGCTTGGGGGAGTCAGTTCTCTGCTTCCACCATGTGGGTGCAGAGGTTTGAGCTGAAGCTTGGCAGGCAAGCTCCTGTTCTTGGCTGAGCCATCTTGCTGATCCTCCAGATTCTTGGTCTACTCGGCATCTGTTCCCCGTACCGTTCTTCCCGTGTGCGTTGTCAGATTTATCTTGCTGTACCTTCTTCTGAAGTGTTTTTTTTTTGTTTTTGTTTTTTTTATAGAGCTGTTGAAAGAAAATGAATGGTTTGTATCACTACCTCACAACTTAGACTAACTGAGAAACAGAACACCTGATTTGAGGCCCGTCCTGAGGTGGCTGTTTGATAGGCTCTCGTGATTAGAAAGGGAATAGGGAAAAGGTGTGAACATAGTATCTGGGCTGTGTGGGAGGCGCAGAGGGAGGCGCAGGGATCAGGACACTCCTTCACTTTAACCTCACATGGAAGAAAAAGCATTATAACTTGGTCTCCATGATATCGCTAAGACCCCCGGAAATGCGTGTGTTTTTCTGCTGAATGCTGTCTCTTCCCTCTGTCTGCTAAGGCTTGGATTGGAGGAAGAGGAAGAGAAGGAAAAGCTGGACATGGCTCTTCAATCCCAGTGGTCCGACGCCTGGGGTAGGACTGAGTAGGAAACCAGTCTGGGCTGCATGGGGAGACCATGTCTCATTCACACAGCTTCATAAGTAGTTATGATTTAGTTTTGTTTTTTCTTTTGTGTACCTTCAGAGCGCCTTGAGTACAGGAGAAAATAAATAGTTGAAAGTAAGGCTTTGTTCTTGACTAGAAAAGGGCACTGGGAGCAGAGGCCTTGCTGTTCTGGGTGACTCTGGAGTCAGGTAGTGGCGATAGTGCAAGGTGGACCCCGTTTCCCTTTGAGTGTGTACTCAAAGTGTGCCTGAAGAAATAGCATTTATTAACAAGAATATAGCTTAACCCACTAGGGAAACTTGTATTCAGTGCAAGTAAATAACCAGACTGCTCCATCCTCATGTCCCCTGTGTAGAAGCTGGCCCTTTTGGCTGCCAAGGACAGTCAAAATCTCGTATCATTTATTTGTTATGCAAAATCCTAGTGGAAAATTATTAAATGTCTCAGTATTTTAATACTCAATACGGTCATCATCTTTGTGGAGGTACTGTGTTCAAACCCCACCTCAGGCCGACCCTGTCTCCTGCCTTGTTCATCTTTGTGTAATAACTAGAGACCTGTGGCTTGTCCTGGCGTTTCTATGTTCATTGAGTGAGTGGGGGCAGCTGTGTTTCTTGTCTCCCACAGGCCTTTCCTAAGAGGCCCAACCTCTTACCCAGAGGGAAGTCCGATTTGTCTGTCTCCACATAGCTACAGTATGAGGACTTTAGTAACTTAAAGCTGGTTTCACCCACATACTGTAGATGGCCAGGCCTTGGGGAACACGTTTTCCCCTCCTTCCTTTCTGTACTTTCCCGCCTAGGAAATAATTAAGCTGGCAGTACAAACTCATAGCTTGGAGCGCTGAAATCTCTTCTGAACATACCTTGAAGAGCCACCAGGATGGCGACCAGCATCCCGCAGGCCTTTACTTGCAGGAAATCTGAACTGGGAGTGCTGTCAACAGGGTCCTGCCTTTGTCTTGGTCTTATCTCAGTGTGGTTCCCTGTTCCAGGTTCAAAAGAGAATCACGGATCAGAAGAGGGGATCAGAGGTCAGGACTTCCTTTTGTTGCTTTTCCCACGTGATCTCAAAGAATGCCTGGCAGCATAATCCACTTCCTGAATAAACAAGTTTTGATATCTGCGGGCTGTGGTGATAGGCTTAGGCTGAGCAAATAAATACAGAACCTAGCCTTCAGCAGGTACAGAGACAAGTCAACCTCGGAGGAGCTCTAGAGTTTTTTTGTTTTTTTTTTTTCGAAACAAGGTTTCTCTGTGGTTTTGGAGCCTGTCCTGGAACTAGCTCTTGTAGACCAGGCTGGTCTCGAACTCACAGAGATCCGCCTGCCTCTGCCTCCCGAGTGTTGGGAATAAAGGCGTGCGCCACCATCTCCCAGGAAGGGAAAACAGCTCACCTTGGACTTGGGTTTCCTCAATTGTGTTCATTATAAACAGTCTTCTATAATAGAGTAATTTAGCATGAGTTAAAATTTTGGGCTGAGCCAGTGGACCTCTGTGAGTTCAAGGCTAGCCTGGTCTACATAGCGAGTTCCAGGACAGGTTCCAAAGCTATATAATATGAGAAACCTTGTCTCAAAAAACCAAAATAAATAAATAAGAACCTTGGGCACGGGAATAGAGTTGGAGCGTCTATCGCTGCCCCTCTGAGTGAGCGCTGAGAACATCTTGTCACGGGACAACAAAACCTCCCGAAAGTCTGTGGAGACGACTACCAGCACAATGCCTGGTGCATGCTAGCACTCAGTACACGGTGGGCACTGTTTATTAGTGCCGCCTCTTGCCTGTCTGCTCTTACCTTCCAGAAGGACCTTATTTCCACAGCTGACGATCATATGTGCTGAGTGCCTACATAGCCTTCCCTGTCACTCAATTAGAAATACTGGGGCCGGGCGGTGGTGGCGCACGCCTTTAATCCCAGCACTCGGGAGGCAGAGGCAGGCGGATCTCTGTGAGTTCGAGGCCAGCCTGGTCTACAAGAGCTAGTTCCAGGACAGGAACCAAAAGCTACGGAGAAACCCTGTCTCAAAAAAAATCCAAAAAAAAAAAAAAAAAAAGAAAGAAAGAAATACTGGGGCTCCACAGGGCAGGGAACCCTGACTGCTCTTCAGACTTGAGAGGGAGGGGGAGAGGAGTGGAAGGCTGGGAGGAGGCGGAAATTTTTTTTTCTCAATTAAAAAAAAAAAAGAAACACTGGGGCTCATTGGGAAACTGTGAACACCGAGTTATAAGGAGCAAGGACTGTTGCACCCCATTCTTTTGTCCAGCGCTTGGCATTGTGCTCAGGATGCACAGGGAGTGTCCATCAAATGAATGAAGAGGAGGCAGGAGAATAGCCACTTTTGCAGTTTAACTGGAGCAGAGGGGCCAGATAAATACAATGAAATTGCCTGGAGCAGTGGGTCTCAGCCTTCCTAATGCTGCGACCCTTCAATACAGTTCCTCATGTTGTGGTGACCCCAACCATAAGATTATTTCATTGCTACTTTACAACTGTAATTTTGTTACTGTTATGAGTCAGAATGTAAATATCTGATGTGCAGGATATCTGATATTGACCCCCAAAGGGGTTGTGACCCACAGGTCGAGAACTGATGAGCTAGCGCCTCATATAAGCTAACGTGATTTAGACATTGTAGACACTAAGTAGCCTTTAATTCTCCGAGTGACGGCATAGAACATACACACTAACCTTCTAGCTAAGTCTGTGGCAATCTCAAGTGAACTGGCACAATACAGGGTTGGTGGCCCATTTATTGAACAATAGGTCCCGTAGCAAGTGTGAGAGAGGAAATGTTGGCAATCTCAAGGACCTCACTTGTTAAAGTTGAGAGGAATGTTTTAACTGTGATGTGAGAGAAACTTGGGAAGCATTTGAAAAGAAAATAGTAAACACAGGGAAACTTGTAGTAACTTATTAGATGGGTAAAGAAAAGGAGGAACCAGGACTTTGACCGAGAGTCATGGACAGATGCTAGTCTCAAGAAGACAAGTTAGGGGAGATGGGGTGCTGCCAGGAAGTGGTCCAGCTGAGAGTGGGGTGTTTGGTTAAAGCATTGGAAAGGAGGTAGAGCTGGAGAAGGTGACTTGGGATTGATGCAAACTCGGGGGAGGGAAGGAAGTTAGATTAGGTGAGGACTTAGGTTTGATAGATGGGAGAAGAAAATAGAGGCAAAGTAAATGAGAAATTAAACAAGTCAGAGAACACTCACAGAAGCTGTGGGAGAGGATTTTGGTGGAAGAAAGAATAGTTAGAAGTGCCAAGTGACAGGACATTTAGGTAGGTAGCAGCAAGCAAGGAAAGAAGAAAATATAGATGTAACTGAAGAAAAGTGGACCATTTGAATGATTAGTAACCATAGAAGAGAATAGGAATGTTTATTAAAAGGCCCTACCTCTCAGATTTTTTATTTACTGTGAGTGGAGGGCTAAGATAATGTTTGTGTGTTTGCTGACATGGTGTAGCTATGTAGCCCAGACCCAAAACTTACGATCAGTCTTTGTTTTCCTGAGTGCTGAGATTATAGGTATGGGCCACCATGCTGGGTTGTTGGATTCTTTTAAAAAAATTGTATGAGGCTGGCATGTGGCTCAGTGACAAAGTACTGACTTAGCATGTTCTAGGTCCTGGGATCAATCTCCAGCATTGAGAAACGTTTACAGATGGCAAGCTTTTTTAAGCCATTGTACATCGAACAGTGTCTCTTGTCTCACATAGATTGGTAGTTTGGCTGGGTATAGAACTGTAGGTAGAAGGTGCGTTTTCCACAGGATTCTGAAGGCTCAGGCCCAGATGGGCCCTCTCTACAGCTTGGCTAGAGTTATCACAGTGAGGTTCACTGGGGAAGTGATGGAGCATGAAGGGCATAGGCAGAGGCCAGAAGCCTTGCTCCCTTGGTGAGCTTGAGACCCTGATGGACTGTTTTGGGTCCTGTTCAGCTTTCTGGCTTCTGATTCTAGAAAACTGAACTTGTGGGGCTATCCACACTTTCTGCTTTATTTTTCTGTTCTAATCCAGTAGCTAGAGTAGGTTCATTTCTTAGAGTCAAATGCTTCTTAGGAAAATCACAGATTGTATTTTAAACCCATCTCTGTATATTTGGGAAATACAGGCTCTTCACTGAGAGAACTGCAGAGTAGTCATCAAAAGTCCTGGGTTGATTATTATTATTATTATTGTTATTTTTATTACTATGATTTAATAAACACCCTATTCTCTTCTATGGTTACTAGTCCAGTTGATGAGTGGCATTAAATAAATCCCTGCACTTCCTGAAGACTCAGTCTTCTAATGAGAATGAAAGGGCCATTCGATAAAGATGCTGAACAGTAAAGACAAAGATGAGATTACCTTCATACATATACTTTGAAGATAGGTTTAACATGAAGTATATTAGCCAGCGTGGTGCTAGCAGAGAACTGGGTAAGAGGAAGGATGCTCAAGGGATGAAGGATGTTCTAGGAAGGAAGGGTGCTCAAGGGATGAAGGAAGGATGTTCTAAGAAGGAAGGGTGCTCAAGGGAGGAAGGATGCTCTAGAAAGGAAGGGTGCTCAAGGGAGGAAGGATGCTCTAGAAAGGAAGGGTGCTCAAGGGAGGAAGGATGCTCAAGGGAGGAAGGATGCTCAAGGGAGGAAGGATGCTCAAGGGAGGAAGGATGCTCAAGGGAGGAAGGGTGCTCAAGGGAGGAAGGATGCTCAAGGGAGGAAGGATGCTCAGGGGAGGAAGGATGCTCAAGGGAGGAAGGATGCTCAAGGGAGGAAGGATGCTCAAGGGAGGAAGGATGCTCAAGGGAGGAAGGATGCTCAAGGGAGGAAGGATGCTCAAGGGAGGAAGGATGCTCAGGGGAGGAAGGATGCTCAAGGGGATTGCTATTTAGGACCTCGACTCGCTACTCGAAACTCCTACTGTCAGCCCCGCTCACTACTCCTCTGGCTGCATTTGGTTCTTAGGGACTTACCTGTGACTAGAACAGAGACAAAATGACCATGAATGTAGATTTCTGGCTTCTGGCTTCGAGCACAGCACTGGTAGGTCCCACTGTCCGATGGTGTGGCTTGGTCTATGGTGAATACCAACTGAGATTTCTGTTCATTGCTACCATCTGTCCCAGGATCCCTTTTCACCCTTAGCTGCTCTAAGCTGGTCTCAGGAGAACAGTCGGACCGCCTGTCTTTGCACCAGAAGAGTATTAGCCCCTCGGCTTCGCCTCTCTTGTGCCACAAAGTGCAGGTGAAGACCAGTTGTCCTCCTTGCTGGGATACTGAGCTGGTGACTTGGAGGCATCCTGAAACAGGGATGCAGGAGTTACCATGAAAAGTCAGGAAGAGTTCCTTAAGTCACACCTTGTGTGACACTTGTCTGACAGTGACACCGGCAGACGGGAAACACAACTTCTAGTTGTTCCTGGGACAATAACCACATTGCCCGCCTCTAATTTTCCTGGGAGGTGAGACTTAAGGGACCAGATACATCCGTGTGAAGTTTCTACTCCATGATGCTGGGGAGCAGGGGACTGCCTTAGTGACTTTTCTATGGCTATGACAAAGCACCATGAACAAAGCAACTTATAAAAAAAACCCTTTAATCTTTCAGGGAGGGTTAGAATCCATGATGGCATAGTGAAGGCGTGGTGGCAGGAATAGCTGAGAGCTCACATCTAAACCCATAAGCAAGAGAGAGCACACTGAGAGAGGTAAGAGGATTTTGGAACCCCAAGCATGGCCCCCATTTTCCCCCCAGCAAGGCCATACAGCTTAATCCTTCCCAAATAGCCACTAACTGAGCACCAAATATCCAAATACCAAGACTTATTCGGGACATCTCATTTAGACCATCAAAGCTCTGCTCTCAAGTGTACAGCCCAACGTAAAGATCAGCAAAATACAAGCCAGGCAGCGGTGGTGCACACTTTTAGTCCCAGCACTCGGGAGGCAGAGGCAGGTGATCTCTCTGAGTTCGAGGACTGCCTGGTCTACACAGAGAAACCCTGCCTCAAAAAAAAAACCCAAATAATAATAATAATAGATAACATAGATAAAAATAAAATAAATTTTGAAAGATTAGCAGAATACCACAGTCCAGATTCCAGGCAGTAACAGCAGTCATGGCTAGAGGTAAGACAGGCAAACGACACTTGGTAGAGGTAGAGGCAGTGGCCATGAAGTCCCTGGGTCTGGAGGTAGTAGAGTGGATGGGATGGGGGAGGCCCTATACCAATGGGGTGAACATGTTCGCAGGGTGAAATTTCATTCTTGTATGAATGCAAACGAGTGCTCTGAAATATTTTCTGTCTTGGGGAGAGAAATCAGTGGTACGTCACACACTCAAATGCCTGGGAAGCCTTAGTTGGGGTCTGCAGGAAGTAAGGAGGGAAATGAGATGGTGTGGGCATGAGACGAAACTCCAGGAAGGTAGGACAGGAGGGCCGTGCGCCAGGACAGGGTCTCAGGCGTATTCTCGAGCCAAAGATGAGAAGCAATAAAGTCTCAAAAATTCTACTCTCGTGTGGCCAGACAATCCCTCAAGGGCAAACAGGCCCCCCAAAATAAGGGCTGGGGGAAGCAACAGCAGCAAACGTAGGTGTCTTCCTTGTCCAAAGGAAGCCCAGCAGGAGCAGGGCTGAGTGGCAGTCTGAAGGAGGAAAAGAGATGGGTGAGAGTGGCAAGGAGAGACAGAGGCATGACGGCCACCAAGCCGATCTCTCGGGGCATCTTTGTGGTGCTGTACCTCACCTGGTTCACAGACACCAAGAGTTGAGGGGTCTGTGTAGGAACTGACAGATGGGGCTAGTGTGCCTCATGCCTGGTACTTCCTGTCACTGCACGGTCAGGAGGGCTTCCAGCAGACTGATGGCCCCGCTGCAAGGTTGGGTAGAAGCCTGCCACGGATGAAGCGGTCACTATTGCCTTACCCACCAAGCCATCTCCCCTCTTCAAAGGACAAAGCCCTCAAAGAGAAAGGATTGTTTTTATGCGTGAGTGTGCATGTGTGAGTGTGGTGTGGTGTGTGAGTGTGGTGTGTGTGTGTAGGTCAGAGGACAGTTTCAGTGGCATCTTCAAGAACACTTTACCTCTTTTGAGACAGGGTCTCTGGCTAGATTGGCTGGTCAGTAAGCCCAAAGGATCCTCCTGTCTCCACCTCCCTGGTTCTGGGATTACAAGTACGTGCCGCTGCCATCCTTGGCTTGTTTTTGTGCCTGGCCAGCACTTTACTGATTAAGCTGTCTTCCCAGCACAGTTTTTTTTTCTTTTTAAAAATAAAATCTTAGAAAATTACTTAAGCTGCATTAATTTTTTTTAAAAAAATAGATGTGTTCATTTTATGTATATGAGTTTTTTGCCTGCATATATCTATATACACCATGGACTTGCCTGGTGTCCAAGGAGGTTAGAAGAGGGTGATGGACCCCTGGAACTGGAATTATGGATGGTTGTGAACCACCATGTGGGTGCTGGGAATTGAACCAGGTCCTCTGCAAGAACAGCCAGTGCTCTTAACCACTGAGCCATCTCTCCAGCCCTTCAGCTGTTTTAAAAAAGTATATCTACGGGCTGGAGAGATGGCTCAGTGGTTAAGAGCACTGCCTGCTCTTCCAAAGGTCCTGAGTTCAATTCTCAGCAACCACATGGTGGCTCACATCCATCTGTAATGAGGTCTGGTGCCCTCTTCTGGCCTGCAGACATACACACAGACAGAATATTGTATAAATAAATAAATAAATATTTTTTAAAAAGTATATCTACATGCCTTTGCAGTCTCGTGTTTGTATTACACAGGTTTCCAAAGCCAGATTTGGACAGTTTGTCTTATGTTATCAGAAATCTTATATCCTAATTATATTTTTTTGTTCACGGGTCAGATGTTTTTACTTCCCCGTCATGTGGTGAGACTCACAATTGGAGGAATACGTGAATGAGGATGCCCCGAGTTAATGCCCATGAAAGCCTGAACCCCTGCACTGCGGGGTCAAAAGCAGGTGGATGTGAGGGACCACTGCCTTGATGGCCTCAGTAGGATGTCTCCAAGCACTTGTTCTCCTATACCTTGACAGACACTCTGCAAAATATATGAATATATATCCTCAAGGGTTTCTCAGGAAGCTTTTAATGTTTACAGGCCCCGTGGTTGGAAGGCACCAGCTGGGCACAAATCTCTTCTTTCACAGGTTGCAACTCCCCCTGGCACCACAGAGCATCGGGGTAGGTAAAGTGGACAGGAAAGTACTGCTTCCCTGATACATTTAAATCTATCTCTTTCTCTCTTTCTCTTTCTCTCTCTCTCTGTCCATCTATCCATCCATCTGTCCATCTGTCTATCATCTATCCATCCATCTGTCCATCAGTCTATCATCTATCTATCTATCTATCTATCTATCTATGCATCTGTCTGTTCATCTGTCTATCATCTACCTATCTATCTGCCTGTCCATCTGTCTAACATCTATCTATCTATCTATCTATCTATCTATCTATCTATCTATCTATCCGTCTGTCCATCAGTCTATCATCTATCTATCTATCTATCTATCTATTATTGATCACCACAAAATAAAAAATTGTCACCAAATTATGTAGGGAGCTTATGAGTTCCTGTGTGTGCCTGGAAGAACCAGGGAAAATCTCCACAGAGAAATCAGCGCTTGTGTTGAGGCTTTTTCCTACAAGAAAACATGCATGGGGAACTCTTTCCCCTGAGCCCCGGATTCTCCCCTAATGGCAGTCTCTGTCCCGGCACCTATACTCACCACCACGTTGGAAGTCCACGATTATCAGCAGGATGGCTAGGGCACAGCAGCTTTGGCAAGGTGGCATCAGGATTTGCATGTTTTCAGCAGCCCCGGGAATTCCACATGAGTGTTGGCTTTGTTGCTCTGTAGCCTCACACCCCTGAAAGCACAGAGACACCTTAGCTGAAGCCTTCCAGACCTCTAGGACTGTTTCCCTATTTTAAGCGCTTATTGAAGTTACTCAAAGTGTGATGGAGATAAAAAGAGCCCCAGGGAACAGAGGGTTTGGAAGTGATATAAAAAGATCAAGTAAGGTATAACTGGAGAGAGGAATGGGGCGGGCTGGGCTGAGAGATGTTGCCTAGTTTTCATGGGTTTAGTTGGCAAATAGCCCCTGTTATATCCATCCATATATATGTAACTGTATGTATATGCCTATATGTAAACAAATGTCCATGTGGGTAAATATATAGTATGTAAAAAGGAGAAAAGAAAGTGAAAATATGGGGGCTGGAGAGATGGCTCAGAGGTTAAGAGCATTGCCTGCTCTTCCAAAGGTCCTGAGTTCAATTCCCAGCAACCACATGGTGGCTCACAACCATCTGTAATGAGGTCCGGTGCCCTCTTCTGGCCTTCAGACATACACACAGAATATTGTATACATAATAAATAAATAAATATTAAAAAAAAAAGAAAGTGAAAATATGAGGGACTGAGGGAGGACTGAACTCAGGTAAAGGGCACTGTGTCCTGAAAGCAGATACAAAGCTAACGTTGCTCCAGTTTCAACTCTACCATGGATATTTTGGTGATGGGTAAGCACAAAAAAATATATTAGCTAATGAAAGCCTAAGATCTGACGTGAAGCTTTGAAGTGCCTGTCTCAGCACCATAGGCATTTGCTAAAACGCAAGGACTTTGGGCCGGGCTAATTTTGATGTGTGATTTTTTTTTATTTGCAAATTCTTTACAATAAAGTTTTAATTAAAAAATGTTTGGGTTTCCAATATTGTTTTAATAAAGTTTCCCTTGATTTTAAATTATTTTCTCCTAATATTTTTATTATTTTATTTTAATATATTTAAATAACCTAATCCCGTTTAAGCAAAATTATGTCCACATTTTAAAAAGCACTCAAATTGAAAGGAAAAGTTAACAGGAGGCTGACTTGGTAAATTTGGTTCATTCATACAAGAGAGTATTACATGGGCATGTGCTGTATATCAACATTTCAGCCAGCGACAGATGGCACAGACATCAGTGGTCCTTAGAGATTATAATGAAATGGGGCAGAAATGAGCGACTGGAAGGACAAGAGAAAAAAGAAACGAGGAAAAGAGAGTGGAGGAAAAGGAGAATGAAAAGGAGGTCGGAGGAAAAGAGATTAACAAGCAAACCATGGTGAAGGGGTTCGCAGACTTTGCAGACTTCAACTAGCTTTGAAAACAGGGACCTCGGTGTTGAGTAGTGTGTCACCTGCTCATCAGCAGAGACACCAAGCAAGCCGCCATGCATGTATATATGAAGGGTCCCACACAAGAGGAGCTTGGGCAGGTCTTTCATGAGGGATGCCAGAAAAAGACGGTGGCGTTTCAGGGGATGATGGCCTTAAAGGCCTTCTAGTGGGACGATATTGAAGATGTAAGACAGTAACATTAATGACCTTGACCTCTGCAGACATAGGTTACATGTGTTATGTTTTCCTTTTTTATTGAATGTGTTCACTTTTAACAGAAAAGGTTTAAAAATTGGGAAAGCATATAGGATAAGAATATATGTATATATGTACACACACACACACACACACACACACACACACACACACGTAACATGAACGAGCCTGATTGTTGGGGTTTATGTCCTGCCCAGTTCTCACAACTGGCAAGTCCCAAAGAAAATCACACAGAGGTCGTCATAAGTTATAAACTGATTGGCCCATTAGCTCAGGCTTTGTATTAGCTCTTATAACTTATATTAACCCATTATTTTTATCTATGCTAGCCACATGGCTCAGTACCTTTTTCAGCAAGGTAGATCACATCTTGCTTCTTCCGTGGTCTGGGCGGGACTCAAGAAGAACTTCCTTCTTCCTAGAATACTCCTGTTCTCATTGCCCCATCTCTACTTCCTGTCTGGTTGTCCCACCTATACATCCTGCCTGGCTAGTGGCCAATCAGCGTTTATTTAAAGCATAATTGACAGAATACAGAATTATCTCACACCACACACACACAATTCTTATACAGCTGTATAATATGTACAATGTCTTTGTAGGGACTTTTCCCCAGACTGGCCTCAAACTCATAAGCCTTTTGCCTCAGCCTACCCAGCTGTGATTACATGCATGGGCCAACGAAACTGGCATGGTTATGTTTTAGGCTAAACTTAGAAATTAAGGAGACTGTAAAGTAAAAATGTTATCATGAGCTAACGCTACTTTATGACTGAAGTCAGTTTCTTTCTGAGGTGCTGGGGATCCAGCCCAGGATTTGGGGTCTGACCTATTTAGAGTGGCTGTTATGCGGTGCCCAGCTGTGCCCAGCTGTGCCCAGCAGTGCTCAGTCATGCCCCAGGCTTCCATCACTCATGCTCTGAAGAGATTCCCAGACCTGCAGACTCCAGGCACAGAAAGTGCTTTATCCAGGCGTTCAATTTAAAGCTGTTGGACTCTATTTTTAGTGTATATTGTGTCTAGATACATAAATACCGTTGTATTATGGCTGCCTACAGTATCATTATAGTAACATACCATGTGGGTGTGTAACCCAAGAGCAAAAGGTTGTGCCAGATGACCAAGGTGTGCAGAGGCTGCAGCATCTTGGTTTGTATGTATACGCTCTATGCTGTACAGCCATGAAATCATCTAGTGATGTATCTCTCAGTGTGCCATCATCATTAGTGATGCATTATTTTAAATTATTTATTATCTTATTAATCTTAATGTTTTTAAAATGGAGGCTCTCTACCTTGCTATAATGTAGCAGGCAGGCCCTCAGCAGATGCTAGTGCTACACACTTGGACATTTCCATGTCTAGAATCAGGAGTCAAATCAACCTCTATTATTTATTTAAAAACTGAACTCGATTAGTTTTATAAATATGGACTTAAATTATATCTATTATAATTCAGTATGTCAAAATGGGTATCGTGTAGGATATATATATATATATGATATATACATATTCACTGTACATTGTCTGTGTCTGGATGTATAACTACCTACTGTTGTATTACAGTTGCCTAGAGTATTCATCATAGTAAAATGCTGTGTGGGTGTGTAACCCAAGAGCCTTGTTGTACCAGATGGCTAAAGTATACAGAGGCTATGCCACCTTGGTTTGTATACATACACTCTATGGTTTCTAAGAATCTTCTGTGTGCTCCCCCATGTATATATTTCCAGCTTGTACCTTCTTGAAGAGGTATACTCACAAGTTTTGTGGTCACTGTTTCACTGATAAGACACAGTAGCTTACTGAAGCAGCTTCAGGAAGGGAAGGACTACTTTGGCTCATGGCTTCGAAGGGATGCCAGCTTGTTATAGCACGGGAGCCTTAGGGGTGTGGTTTGTGGTGGAGGTAGCTTGTGGCACAGGTTAGTTTACACGACAGCAAGCATGACACAGAGAACTGGGCCAGAAGAGGCTGGTCGGCTCACTTCTGGTGAGCCAGGCTCCTTATCTTAAGATGCTTTATTAGCACCATAAACTGAAGAATAAGTATTCAAAATACAAGACACTGGTGTATATTACGGACTTGAGCTCCAAAATTTGAGGGAGAAAACCAGAAATAGTTATAAATCCTGTTTCTGATTTTTCAGTTATATATTTAAAGATTTATTATTTGTATCTTTGGGCACTGCATGCAGGTGCACAAGGAGTCCAGAAGAGGGCGTCAGACCCCTGGAGCTAAGTGATGGGTGATTGTGAGCAGCCCTGTGGGTCCTGGGAACTGAATCCTGATCCTCTGCTAAAGCAACCAGTGTTCTTTGTCACTGAACCATCTCTCCATCCCCTACACCATATTTTTGTCACATATCAGTTATATAGCGCTATGAATTTCATTGCTTTCATACACAGAGACAGCACCTTGAGCATATTCATCTCCACCATTGCCTTCTCTTATCACCCTTTCCAGCCCAAGAAAGTCCAATTACTTTTCTTTCATTTTTATTTTGTGTGCATGGGTGTTTTGCCTGCATATATATTCATGAGCCACATGTGTGCAGTGCCTATAGAAGCTACATTCCCCCATTGTTATTTTAAAAAATAGGTTATAGGTTATGTTCAATGTATATTTTAACTTAGGGAGAAGTGAATTTTTTGTGACATTAAGTCTTCAGATCCGAGCATAGATTTCCGTGTTGTGTATTAGTTCGTTTTCTGTTGCTCTGATGAAACATCAGTATCAAAAGCAACTTAGAGAAAAAAGAGCTTGAGTTTACAATCCAGAGGAATGAGATTTCATCATGGCTGGGCAGTGGTGGGGCACACCTATAATCCCAGCACTCGGGAGGCAGAGGCAGGCAGACCTAGCTGAGTTTGAGGCCAGCCTGGTCTACAGAGATTTGCAGACCAGCCACCAGACCTACACAGTGAGACTCTGTCTCAGAAAAAAATCCGACCATAGACTACATGCAAGAGGAATACTGAAGAGTACTGAGGGTTGCTGAGATTGCGCAGAGGGTAAAGGTGCCTGCCGCCAACCCTGACACCCTGAGTTTGATCCCCAGGAACTGAATGACAGGAGAGAATGGACTCCTGAAAGTTGACCTCTGACCCTTCCTCAAATATACAGTAAAATAAAAATAAATGTCATTAAAAAGAGCAATGATGTGGAAATTCAAAACTAAAAGGATGAAAAATAGTGGTTAAGTATTGTCGGCCTAACTAAATTAATATAAGGCAAAAGTATACAGTTTTATAAAGAAATACATAAGGTCACAGATATGCTTTGCTGGCCTCTACAGACACCGCACACATTGGTGCACAAACACGCTTGCAGGCAAAACACCCAGACACATAGCTTGAAACTATGTAATAACCCTTAGCTCTATAAAGTAAAGTTTGGAGAAATTACTGGAAGAAATGGGAACTACAGTGATCCCCATAGTTCAACCCAGCTTCCTCAACTGTGAAGTGATAAAAAGGTATGTATAGAAGATTTAAAGGCCAACCAGCCCAATGGAACTGTAGAAGTCCTTCCAACAATTCTTTGCTGAACACATATTCTTCTAAACAAATCAAACATTTTAAAAATTGATAGTGTACTAGCCATTGAAGTGAAGCTCAGACTGTCAGTATTGCAAGGCCAGATTCTGTTTCAGTGCAACTAGCTTAGATGTCAAAAACAATAAGGTACATTTTAAAAAAACTATTCCGGGGCAACATCAGGCTTCTTGGGCTTCTGTGCTGGGCCCTAGGTCAAGCCCCTGAGAAGTGAAAACATTTGACTAGTATATCCCATCTAGCACCTGCCAGGTAGGTACGCGGTGGACAGAGAGATCATTAAAACAGGAGTCTATGTGTTGCTCGATGCCGCCTAGTCAGGTCGGGTTTGAAATCTAATGTTGGATTTCTTAATCTCTATGAAAAAGAGTTTACTGATGAATAAAATGTTGACAACAGCGTTCTCTCCCCCAAGGTAACTATGGAGGTCAATCTAGCAGCTTTGTGAGCATAGCATGGTGCTTGACGGAGCGCAACTGCTCAATAAATGCTAGCCGTGCTGATTCTTATGGCCGCATAACTGGCTGCAGCTCATACACAGTAGTATTTAGTGCTTGTAAAACTCTGAGCTATCATTAACCACGTGCTCAGTGCAGAAGTCTTGGAGGAGCCGTGTGGCTTGCTTAAAATCACAGAGACTGGGTGGGGAGCTGGGATCCTAACCCCCTTGCAGTCAGTATCTTTGGTGCCTCTCCTTACAGCCATCTCTCTCCATTCCCAAACAGTGAAGAATAAAGGGTTATGACAAGAACAGAGTTGGGGAAGCAGTTTACAAGGGTTAGAAGAAGAGGAATGCAGGCCATGGGCTCTGGGAAGGTTGCAGGAAGGCAGTGGAGTTGGGTCTTGGTCGTTTTGTTGACTTTAGGTGTTGGTACTGGAAGGATGTGGTGGGAGAAGGAAGGTGGAGGAGAACTGACCGGTTGGGAGATTTGGCTTGTAACCAATGCTGTGCACTTGCTGGCTGTGAGATGCCAGAAGGTCCTGCTTCTTCTTCAAGATTGTGTCCTCAGGGACTGGTGTAATGGGATAGGAGGGGCGGAGTAGGGACCGCTTCCAACGACAGGCAGGCTGGCCTGCAGCAAGGAGCCGGTCCCTCTGCCCGGAGTGGCTACGCGGTGATGAAGTCTAGCTGGACCACAGTGTGTAAGTAAGCTTCGGCTCCTCAGCCGGTTTGGGGGTAGGCGGGGACCATTCAGGTAAGGACTCCCTTGTCAGAAGTGACCTTGATTCTTGGAGCACCAGGTGCGTCGCGGGCAGACACTGATGGCTGGAGCTCTCGCCGCTAGAGGGCGCTGCCTCCCAGCCCCGGGTGTGACCTTCTCCGCGTTGCCTGGCTCAGTCCAGCCCAGGACTCCTCCAGGCAGAAGAGCAGGGGATTGGGGAAGGGGGGGGGGGGGGGGGGGGGAGACAGACGACGACGGGGGGTGGGTCCGAGGTGGGGGCAACAACCTTAACTAGGAGTGGAGAAGAGGAGAGTGCATGATTGGATCCTGTGGGCCCAGTGACTAGGACTGCGCTCGAAGCTACTAATGGCTCTTTAGCATCTAGAGTGGTGGGGTATGGGAGGGCAGAACTTTCTGGGTCCTTTACGCCTCCAGCCGCAAGGAAGGGTGCAGATAGGGTTGGTATCCTCACATTTGAGTTTTCCTTGAACTCTCAGAAATCCTTGGTAAGAGATGGAGGAAAGCGGCAAACGCCCTCATCTCTAGTTTATGAGAAACCAGAGTTCCGGGGAAGCCTTGGCGCCCTTGCTTGTTCTCAGCCTGCCCTTCTAACCCGGTCTCTTGAGCTGGAGCGCAGCTTCCTAACCGCGGCTCAAAGGGAACTATGGAGAGCCAGATGACTCAGCCGGTAAAGGCGCTTGCCACAAAGCCCAAGGACTTGAGTTCGCTCACAATGGAAGGAGGTAGCCGACTCTTGCAAGTTGTCCTGTGACCTTCACGTGTACAGCACACACACACACACACACACACACACACACACACACACATCTATGCACACTAAATAAATATAGTAAAACTATTTTAAAGGGGACCAAGGAGCCTTTTGAAGACCTGGTGAGGAACATGCGGCTTGTGCTCACAGCGAGGCAGACATGATGTTTTTAGCGAAGTTAAATCCACGCGATTTGTCTGATTTTCCTTTAATCTTGGGTATTTTGTTTCTCTTGCTGAGAATGTGTGGAAACACTAGAAAGCCTGCAATCCTGTAGCACGAATCTGCAAACCTGTAGTTTTCTATACAGTCACAATGTACGTTCACTACCTTTGCAACACGTTACTGTACAGTAGCAAATCACTTTCAGTTATGTGTAAAGGAATAAATCAATTCAAATGCTCTTTGTAAAAAAATTAATGAGATGGGTTGGGGAAATGACTCGTTGCTCTTGCCGAAGACAGGGCTGCGTTCCAGCGTCCAGGTTGGTACCTCTGTCTGTAACTCCAGTTTGAGGGCACCCAACACCCTCTTCTGGCTTCTGTTGGGTCCAAGCTCACATGTGGTGCATGTGTGTGTGTGGGAGGCATGTGTGTATGTGTTCATGTGTATGTGTGTGTGTGTGCGTGCGAAGGCAAAACATTCATAATATATGGGATAAAAAAATCAGTCTAGAATTAATAAAACAAAATGTATAGGATAATAAAGGAAGCAAATTCTATAAAGATGGTTGCTGGAACAGTTACAGGAATTCATGATAGATAACACACGCTTCCTTGGACCCGGTGTCCATCTGACAACGACCATCATTTCTTTTTATTTTATGTGTATAGCTTGTTTTACCTACGTGTATGCCTGTGTACTGTTTGGGTGTGTGGTGCCTGCGAAGGCCAGAAGAGGGCATTGTATCCCTGGAACTGGAGTTATATATGGCCTTGAGCCTCGGTGTGTGGGAACCAGGCCCTCAGCAGGAGCAGCCAGCACTCTTAGCCACTGAACGGTCACTCCCGGCCCTTGTCTAGTCCAATGAAGTGTAACAGCCGCCAAGAGATTTGAAGATACCTATGCTTTCTGCTAACGGCAGATTCTCCTGTGGCTCCTTGCCTGCAACAACCCCTCCCCACCCCGAGACAGGGTCTCTCTGTGTAACAGCTCTGACTGTCCTGGAACTCCTTTTGTAGACCAGGCTGGCCTCGAACTCACAGAGATCCGCTTGCCTCCCAAATGCTGGTCTTAAAGGTGTTTGCCACCACACCTGTCTCCTTACCTGCATTTTTAATGGAAGCAAATACCAACTCCCTAGCAAAGGCTGACAAAAGAGAAGATATATTTTCTCCCCAGACTCACAAACCTCGAGTGTGGTCTGACCTCGTGGGGTCACACACCCTAGGTAAGCCACCAGCTCTGACTCACAGGCAAAGGCTAAGGCTTCTTCCCGCTGAAGGAGACAGTTGGAACTGAACTGAGGGCAAAACATTGCTTTTTTAAACCCCAGGAATTTAGAGGTTTACTCTGCCCAAACCACACAGCGACTAAGGCTGCCCTTGTTTATGCCACGTTTGGTGCCTAGGACTTGAATGTCCCTCAGAGACACCTCACAGAGGCAGCTCACATCTCAGCCCAGGGCTGGAGCAAAGGCTTCACAACCTTTCTTATGATGATTCTTCATCTCCTTTGTATTTATAGAAATGTGTGTCTTCCACCCACCATCTTCTCATGAACACAGAACCAAAGAGAGCACCTGGAGGAGTCGGCCCAGCATGCCTGAGTTAATCTGGTCAGGCTTAACTCTAAAATGCTCACAGAGAGAGACTTCCTTCCCATGGATGGAGTGTGGTCTTTCCCCCTGAAGGCATATCTGAGCCAGTGAAGGACCCGAAGCCCATGAGAAGGAAGGGTGAGCGCGCCAGCCCACCGCCATAAGTAGCCTATCTCTTCCTCAGGCTTCTGAGGGCAGAGAACATTTATTTCCCTTTGAGAAGCAGGCTTCTCAGCACCTCACTGAAAGCTTGGCCTCACGTGAGCAGTTCTATCAAGCGTTCCACCTCTCCCCAGAGCCCAGGTACCTCAGGACAGAGTTCCTCCTTGCTCTCAAGCTGGGTGCTCACGCTGGGTGCTCTTGATTCTTATGCTGGTGTCTTTCTCTTGTTAAAAACTATCTTCCCCACTTCCGTCTTGGCCCCTACTGTCGTCAGTCTCATAGTGAGCTTTGAAAAACCACAGGATGGGTTTAGCTCCTGCCTTTCTTTCCTCCACCCCTAGAACTTTTCCTCTCTGCTTTCTCCCCAGCACCTCCTTCTCTTTCCACGCCTCTCTTATTAGAAACCCACTAAGGTTCTGAGAGGACTGAGAAAAGAAAAATCGCCCCTTGAAATAGGTTTCTTTACCTTGGGAAATGAAGATTTCTCACTTGTTAATGGATAGAGATGGCTCTGGTAATAGAGATGGCCAGAAGGTGCAAAGACAGCGCATGCTCTCAGGAATAAAGGTGCGCTGTCTTTTCCTGTGGATACCTTTGGATTTGGAGCCGTTAAGAGCACAGCAGAGCTGTTCCACTCTGAACCTGTGCAGCAGGAAGTCCTATAGTTCGGAGACACCGCCCGCGACTGCCAGCTAGTGCCAGATATCCAGAAGCTTGAGTTAGTGTCCTAAGAAGTGACACTGGGGAAGCTTCTTCCTGGCTAATGTAGAGTGCTCACACCATTGCCACCCCACTCAGGAAAGTGCTCTAGCATCGCGGTCCCCACCAGCTGCCTCCCTGAAGCCATCACTGGATGAGACAGACCTCATGTGGCGCCACCCTTTTTCAGTGCATTCCATCTTGCTTTCTCGGCCCCTGGAGATAGACTTCAGAAATGTATCAGTTCGTCAGTGTTTGACTTTCTTGGTCTGATGAGCAGCTTCTAGGAGCTTGGCTGATTAGAGCCTATGTTAGGGAGGAGACTCTTCGCGTCATCTCCATGTTTCTCACCACAGTTGATGTCATGGACATGGACTGCGGAAGTAGCCTGGCTTCCGGGGTCCCAGGATCCTTATCCTTTGTCCGTGTGATAGTGGGTAAAAGTGCTGGAGTCCAGTTCTATGCTCTTGCCAATGCTGCATTGTTGTCGAGGGGAAAACAGTAAGGGTTCTGCCTGGTTTTTTAAAAAATGGAGGAAAAAGTAAAAAGAAGCAAACTGGGTGGATGATAAGTGTATTTTTATTTTCTACAGAATTATAGAGTTTCTGAACTGGAAGGACGACCTGGCTTATGAACGCAACGTTTGGGAGGCAGAAGCAGGAAGATTTTGAGTTCAAGGTTAGCCTGGGCTCGTAGATCCTACCTTAAAAACAAACTAAGTACATCCTGATCAAAAGGCAGAAAGGGCCACAGTCGTCTGCTAGTCCAGTCTGTAATGATGTACAGAGATGTCTGTGCTAGTGGTTCTCAAAGGAAGTGTGTCCAAATCAGCAGGCTGGCTTGTTTAAACAGCTGAGGCTCTGGAATTACAGCTCGGTACTGGTGCAAAAACCCAGCTCTAACAAAGAGGATACGAGTTTATTCTGGAACCAAATATGAGTGACCATGGTCTGGGGATATGGATTTGGGTCACCCACCCCGAGTTCCAAGTTCTGATGTGGAAATGTTTCATGATGGTTTTTATAGAGACAGAAAATCAAAAACCAGGGTACTTTTCAAGGACATTGGTAGCAGTGGGAGGGAGGAGGGGAGAACTCCCCTGTGGTCCTTGGTGCTAGTCCACCGGTTCTGTTGAGTTCATTCGTTCCAAAAGGCTTTACGATGTCAGGCTGATAGGAGGCTGGGCAAAGAACGGCTATTTGGGGAACCGAAGGTAACCCCAGAGAAGCTGCAAACTGGCTGTTGACCTGCAGCATTCCCAACTCTACAGCTACTGAAGTTCTAACCTGTCAATCCACCTTGCACAGGTTTCGGTGTTAAGGTAGGGCCAGCCGCTTTCTGGAAACTTTACATCGCTGGTTGAGGGCTTGTCCGCCTTGCCCGAAGCCTCAGGTTTGATCCATACATTAGGTGGGATAGAGGAGGATCAGAAATTCACGGCCAGTCTGGGCTAGAGACTCTGCCTCAAACCAACAATAACGTCATAATTGGCCTGGCGTTAGATTATACCAATAGCTAATCAGTTCACATTCACCTGCCATCTCTCTGCCACTGAGGAGAATTCCCTGAGAGCTGGCTGTGATCCTTAAACAGAGTCCCCAGACATGTTGCTGAGACTACAGCCCATCCACAACCCTCAATTCTCATGTGGATTCTGGGGTCCCTGCTGCTGTAGGGAGACAGTCACCCTGTGGAAGAGTTTGTCTGTCAGTACACACACTCCCTGATGTCACACTTCAACTAGAGGACCCCTCCTCCATACCTCCCCCGCATCCTAGGAGTTTCACCTGTCTTCTCTGGAATTCTCTTCTCTTGTAGCCTGACCACAGACTCATGCTATGGAACCTTTCCCCTTTGGGACCTATAGAGAAGGATGTTCAGTCTGCCTCACAGGTCTGATTTGCCATTAGAGCCCCTAACGTGCTGTCTGTCCATCAGTGACACTAGGGATGGACCTTGCCTCTCAGCCTTGACTATGCTGGTCTCTGCTGTCTGCTTACATGTCTACAGCATCAAGAACTCATCTAGTAAATTTCTTAATCAAGCCAGGCAATGGTGGTGCATGCCTTTAATCCCAGCACTCAGGTGGCAGAAGCAGGCGGATCTCTGTGACTTCGAGACCAGCCTGGTCTACAGAGCTAGTTCCAGGACAGGCTCCAAAGCCACAGAGAAACCCTGTCTCGAAAAACAAAATCTTAACCTAAAGGGCAATCTGCCTCACTGTAGCCCTTGAAACACATAAGATCTTTTATATATGCAGCCTCTACCCTTTGGGTAGACCAAGCAGTTGCTTCTCTTCTGTTTCCAGCTGCTGCTGTGATGGGCCTGCCAGAAATGAAGATACTCCAAAGAGACACCGTCTCTTAGGTTGAACATCAGGCTATGAAGCAATGGACCCAACAGAAGTAGCCCAGCCTCAGGGAGAGAGATCTGTCTCCCAGAAAGATTCCACAGGCTTCTAATAAAATGTCAGACGGCCTTATGGGACACAACCAAAGCTCAGACAAGGATGCATCGATGGTGGGCAGAACCACACTTTGATGGGACTGCTTTGGTCCTCTATTTATATTATTTTAAAGGATATATTTTTATTTCATGTGTATCCCTGGAACTGGAGTTATAGCCAGTTGTGAGATTCCAGGTGGGTGCTGGGAACCACACCCAGGTATTCTATAGGAACAACAACTGTGTTTAACCATGGAACCATCTCTCCAGTCTCTGGGCCCTCTATTTAAACTTAAAGTTCACTTCAGGACCCCAAGGATGGACTTTAAGAGGTCACTGGATCTCTTTGTTCCTTTCCCCAATGAATAAAACTCCATTTTCTGAATTTTCATATCAAGTTGGCTGTTTTAACTGACTTCTTAGGGGTACAGGCTGTGAGCCTAAGTCTGGTGACACTGCTGTTTGTGATGGGGAGAGTCTTCTGTTTTGTGTTGATTTCATTGGTTAAATAAAGAGACTGCCTTGGCCCTTTAATACGACAGAAAATTAGGTAGGCGGAGTAAACAGAACAGAATGCTGGGAGAAAGAAGCTGAGTCAAGGAATCGCCATGATTCTCCTACTGGACACAGATGCAGGTTAAGATCTTCCCTGGTAAGACACCTCGTGGTGTTACAGGGATATTAGAAATGGGTTAGATAAATATGTAAGAGCAAGGCAATAAGAGCCTGGAACTAATGGGCCAGGCAGTGTTTAAAAGAGTACAGTTTCTGTGTAATTATTTCAGGGCATAAGCTAGCCATGTGAGCAGCCGGGTGCTGGGGACGCAGCCCCGCTGCTCCTATTACAACACTGTTGTGATATTGCTTGAAAATGGTTTCTTTCCTCCCTCTCTTTTTCCCTCCCTCCCTCCCTCCTTTTCTCCTCCTCCTTTTCTCCTCCTCCTCCTTCTTCTTCATAAGGTCTCACTAAGTAGCTTTGGCTGGCCTTGAACTCACAGAGATCCGCCTGCCTCGCTTCTCTAGTGCTGGGATCAAAGGCATGCGCCACCACTAAGGCTCCATATCTTGCATCCTTGTTTCATTCCCTCTAGTGGTGTATAGCTCATTCCCTTTGTCTGTGGGTATCAATTGTAGATAGCTCTTGGTTAGGGTTGGGACCCTGTGTCCACGTCCCCGCTCAGTGCTAGGACCTCTGCTTGCTTGAGCCTATGCAGGTTGTGCATGCTGACACAGTCTTCTTGTATCTGGAATACACTGTTCCATATGGTTTTTCAAATGGCCTTCTGTTAATTGTCCCTCCCCATGCTTCCTCCCATTCCCTCTCCATTCAATCCTCCTAGTCTAGTTTCCCCTTTGTCTCTTATTCCTTTTTTAAATTTCTTTTTAAGTTGTTTTTATTGACCTATATATTTTTCTCCACTCCCCTCCTTTCCTCTCCCCATCCCTTCTACCCTCTCACATGATCCCATGCTCCCAATTTACTCAGGAGATCTTGTATTTTTCTACTTCCCACCTAGCTTAGATCCATGTATGTTTCTCTTAGAGTTCTCATTGTTGTCTAGGTTCTCTGGGATTGTTAAATACAGATTGATTTCCTTTGCTTTATGTCTAAAAGCCACTTATGAGTGAGCACATACTATATTTGTCTTTCTGGGTTTTTGTTACCTTACTGAATATGTTTTCTAGTTCCATCCATTTGCCTGAAAATTTCAAATTGTTGTTTTTTTTTTTCTGCTGTGTAGTACCCCATTGTGTAAATGTACCACATTTTCCTTGTCCATTCTTTAATCGAGGGGCATCTAGGTTGTTTCCAGGTTCTGGTTATGACAAATAATGCTGCTATGAACATAGATGAACACATATCCATGTGGTATGATTGAGCATCCTTTGGGTATAGAACCAAAAGTGGTATTGCTGGGGCTTGAGGTAGGTTGTTTCCTAATTTTCTAAGAAAGCGCCATACTGATGTTCAAAGGGGCTAAAGCAGTTTGCACTCCCACCAGCAATGGAGGAGTGTTCCCTTGACCCCACATCCTCTCCAATATAAGCTGTCATCAGTGGTTTTGATCTTAGCCATTCTTACAGCTGTGAGATAGAATCTCAGAGTTGTTTTGATTTGTATTTCTCTGATGGCTAAGGATGTTGAGCATTTCCTTAAGTGTCTTTCAGCCATTTTAGATTCCTCTGTTGAGAGTTCTATGTTTAGGTCTGTACCCCATTTTTTTTTTTGGATTATTTGTTCTTTTGATGACTAGTTTCTTGAGTTCTTTGTAAATTTTGGAGGTCAGTCCTCTGTCTGATGTGGGGTTAGTGAAAATTTTTCTTCCCATTCAGTAGGCTGTTGTTTTGTCTTGTTGACCATGTCCTTTGCTTTATAGAAGCTTCTCAGTTTCATGTGGTCCCATTTATTAATTGTTGCTCTCAGTATCTGTGAGGCTGGGGTTATATTCAGGAGGTGGTCTCCTATGCCAATATGTTCAAGTATATCTCCCACTTTCTCCTCTATGAGGTACAGTATGGTTGGCTGTATGTTGAGGTCTTTGATCCATTTGGACTTGAGTTTTGTGCATAACAACAGATGTGGATCTATTTTTATTCTCTACATGTTGATACCTAGTTACACCAGCACCATTCACTGAATATACTTTCTTTTTTCAATTTTATATTTTTCTTCTTTGTCAAAAATCAGGTATTTATGGGTGTGTGGATTGATACGGTGATTGAAAGTTATGTGGGTATAGTAGTCTGGGCTGGCATCCGTGATCTCTTAATGTCTGCATAACACTTGACCAGGACCTTCTGGTTTTCATTGTTTCCATTGAAAAGTCAGGTGTAATTCTGATAGGTCTGCCTTTATATGTTACTTAACCTTTTTCTTTTGCAGCTATTAATATTCTTTCTTTATTCTGTATATTTAGTGTTTTTCTTACTATGTGCCGCGGGGACTTTTTTTCCCCCCAGTCTACTTGGTATTCTGTAAGCTTCTTGTATCTTCATAGGCATTTCTTTATTAGGTTCTTTCTTAGGTTGGGAAAGTTTTCTTCTGTGATTTTGTTAAATATATTTTCTGTGCTTTTGAGTTGGACTTCTCCTTCTTCTATCCCTATTATTCTTAGGTTTGGTCTTTTCATGGTATCTCATATTTCCTGAATATTTTGTGTTAAGCTTTTGTTAGATTTAATGTTTTCTTTGACTAGTGAGTCTATTTCCTGTATTGTATCTTCAGCGCTTGAGATTCTCTCTTCCATCTCTTGTATTCTGCTGTTCATGCTTGCATTTGTGGTTCCTGATCATTTTTTCATAATTTTCTTTTCTATAATATCCTCAGTTTGTGTTTTCTTTATTGTCTCTATTTCGGTTTTCATGTCTTGAATAGTTTCTTTCATCTGTTTAATTGTTTTTTCTTGGTTTTCTTTAAGGGATTTGTTGATTTCTTCCATTTTTTTGTTTTTCTTTTCTTTCATTTCTTTGAGGGGATTTTTCATTTCCTCCTTAAGCTCCTCAAACATTCTCCTAAAGTTATTTTTTAGGTCATTTTCTTCTGCTTCATCTATATTTGGTTCTTCAAGTTTTGCTTTTTTTTAAAAAAAAATATTTATTTATTTATTATGCATACAATATTCTGTCTGTGTGTATGGCTGCAGGCCAGAAGAGGGCACCAGACCCCATTACAGATGGTTGTGAGCCACCATGTGGTTGCTGGAAATTGAACTCAGGACCTTAGAAGAAGCAGGCAATGTTCTTAACCCCTGAGCCATCTCTCCTGTCCCAAGGGCCACTAGTTTTTATTGGTGTTGTGATGCTCTTTGTGGTGTTGAGTGTGTTCTTACCTTGTCTACTCATCTTTTCCTCTGATTGGTGTAGCTGTGTCTCTGGTGATCAATCTTCCAGGTGCCAGATGGTTGCTCCTCGTGGTGCAGTCAGGGCTATGGTTCCAGTTACTCTGGAGGTCACCTGGTGCTCCTGGAGGTGGCTCAGTGCTATTAGGGGTTGCTCTGTGATCCTGGGGGTCATTTGGGCCTCTCTCAGAAAGGTTGCTTGGCTGGGGCTGATCCCACTGAGGTTGTTGCCTTGAGCCTGTTCCTGGGGAGGTCCCTGGGTTGGGCCTGCTCCCTTGGATGTCCCTGACTTGCGCTTGTTCTCACAGAGGTCTCTGGCTGGAGCCTGCTCTCTCTGCGGTTGCCCCCTTGTACCTGCTCCTGTGGAGGTCCCTTTGTCTCTTATTCTATTTCCCTTTCCTCTGGAGTTCCCCTCCTCTCCTCTAGTCCCTTACTAGCTAACTGACCTCTGGCTATTCGATTGTAGCACACATAGTGAAGACTTAAAAGCTAACAACATCCACATTGTAAGAGAAAATTTACAATATTTCTCCTTTTGAGTCTGGTTCACCTCATTCAGAATAACTTTTCCAGCTCCATCCATTTCCCTGCAATTTTCATTTTCCTAGCATCTGAACAATATGGCACTGTGTAAATGTATGACATTTTCATTATCCGCTCACCAGCTGACGGGCATTAGGGTGCTTTGCATTTCCGGGCATTATGAATAGAGACGCACTGAAATCGGGTGGGGAAACGTCTCTGTAGTTCACCTGATAACCTTTGAAGAATTTCTCAGTTAGTGCTGAAAACCTCTTCCTCAAGTTAACTTCCTAGCCCCCTTGGACTTCTGAGCATGAGTCCTAATTCTGCTGAGGGCTCACGGGCCGCGTTTGTGGTTGATGGGTGACTAAGTCACAACTTAAGGGTCAGACCGTGCGGGTTTCTGCCCCACCTCACCACTTTACTGTATGATTATGATTTGGGGCAGGTCATCCAAGTTTTCTGAATTTCCCTCACCTTTAGAATTGGCATAATAATTGATATTCAGATAATTGAGACAAAGCCTGGGAGCCAGTGAGCCTGGTCCTCAGCAGGGGAAGTCTTCAGTGTGTGTCGGCTGTTATAATTACTTCATTTCATTGTTTACTCTAGAGCCAACCAAATCTCTGAAGAAATTAATCATTCTCAACCTAGGCACGGCAGGCACATACCTGTAATCTTAGCACTAAGATTATTCAAGTGAATTCAAGAGGACCTGGGCTATAAAGTGTAACAAACCCAAAACAAACAAAATAAGAACTTAATCTTTCTCCCTAATGTTTCTTCTTCGGAGGTTAAATATCTCTAGCTCTTTTGATTATGTCCTGTGGTTTTGTTTTCTTCAGAGCTGGGGACTGAGCTTCTAGCCTTCTGCACAGGAACGTGTTTGACCATTGAGCCATCGGCACAGCCCAGTGGCTTTAATGTCGTCGTTCCCTTGTAATTCTCCTGTGGGCAGAGTCCGGATTGCCATGCTCCCTTGATAATTGCAGGAGCTCTCAGCTGCCTCCTGTCTTCCTTTTGTTACTGCTCCCAAAGAGCCCCAAGTTAATCTCCACACCTCAGACTCATAAACAGCAAGGATACTAGAGTCTGTCCAGCCAATACTTTTGGGAGGAAATGCTGCTGTTCTGAGTTGTTTGCCCTCACGGCTCCCTTGACTGACTCCGTGAAAGGCTCAGATTGTGCCTGTGTGCTTGCGCGCACGCGCGTGTGCGTTGGCGCGTTTGCGTGTGCGCTTACGCCAAGCAGAGCTCCCACTACCATGTACTGCTTTGATGGTGATGGGCAGTGACCGAGGAAGCCATGGGCTAGACTGGGCAGAGGGGATGGAAGAGTCTGGCAGGAGATGTGAGGATTTCCGTAGAAAAGAGTGACCTGCTATGCTGGCACAGCTTTCTGGAAGGAAACCAATCCTCGGGGCCAGAGGGCAATTGCATCAAAGCAGTGCGGGTATTTCATCCCCACCCCGCCCCCGTCTCTGTTGGGCTGTAGCCCAGAGTTCTCGGTTAGGGAAGACAAGGAGGGAGCCAGGACTGTGTCACTGTAGAGACAAGGATGGCAGACTCAGGCATTTGGGTAGTGGGCTGACCGAGGAGGCCGTGAAAAGACTGTCTCCGCCTCATTTCTAGTCTCCAGTCTGTACTGAATGGTTCACCAAGAATTTGGACCTCAAGTTCTGTGCTTTTAAGCTAGAAGGCAGAGCATCTTCCTAACACTGTGGTGTCCTGGACAGTCTGTGTTTTCCTTCTGGACCACAGAGGGTACCAGGTCCCGTTCTAATTAGACCTCTCGCTGAACGGAGATCAGCACGTGGAGGCTGTCTCAGCGGCTCAGCCCCCCACCCCCACTGAATACTTAAAGGTCACTCGAGTTTTTCCACAATGTCTCTGCCTGGTGGCAGAAGTGGGCACAGTGAGTTCTGCCGGAAGGATGAGTGGACTCTGCAGCCCTCACTATTGCAAAGCCAGATTCTGCTCTGAGGATAGAGACTTGCTTCTCACCAACTCAGGGCCACACTGTTTCCTCATACTAAGGTAAGAACATGTAAGCTCATTCACCCACGTCTGCTCACTGCCTCCTGAGCCTGGCCCAGCCTACCCTGTGAATACGAGGGTACCCTCTCAGGCTCCTTCCAAACTCTGTCCTTAAAGGAGCCGGGGAAACTGGTCTCCTGTACTTGTGGGTTCTCATCTTCTCGCAAGCCAGGAGTCCTTAGTCTCCTGATGCTGAATACCTCGGATTCAGGATTTATTACTTTACTCTCCAGGACTTTTCCTGTGTGATCCTGGTGAAAGGAAAGTCAGGATCCAGTCCAGGGTTCACCGTGAGGGTGAGGGCAGACCATCCTGCAGTTGGTGCAGAGGCTGTACCCCGCTCTCCTTACCAGACCAGATGCCACATCCTCAGGCTCCGGAGGAAGAGTGCCCCTGGCGCCCAATTAAAGTAAGAACTGATTTTTTTTCTAGTACATTAGACTTTTTTTTTTTTTTTTTTTTTTTTGGTTTTTCGAAACAAGGTTTCAGGCTGGCCTCGAACTCACAGAGATCATCCTGAGTCTGCCTCCCGAGTGCTGGGATTAAAGGCGTGCGCCACCACCGCCTGGCTAGACTTATCTTTTATCTACTATATTTTATTCTGTGGTGCTAGAGATAGAGCCTCATGCAGGCTAGGCAGGCGCTCTACCGCTGAACAATACTCCCAGAGCTCTTTGATTGACCGACTCCCTACACTGCCCAGATTGCCTTACGCTTGCTGTGTAACCCAGGCAGGCCCTGATCTGGAAATCTTCCTCCACATCCTGAGTGGAGACTACAGGTGTGGGTTGTCACCTTCTTACCCTGGCCTGAGCACGCCAAAAAGAACAGCCACAGCTGAGTTGTTTTCTGTAACGCCGGGGGTGCCAGGAGCCCTCATGGAGGCCATACTTTGAAAGAAGGTTTCTCTGTGTAACAGCCCTGGCTGTCCTGGAACTTGCTTTGTAGACCAGGCTGGCCTCGAACTCACTGAAATCCCCCTGCTTCTGCCTCCCAAGTGCTGGGATTACAGGCGTGTGCCACCACTGCCCAGCCACGAGGGATGGCTTCTTTGAAGTCAAGCCAGAGGTGGGCCACTTTGCCTCTGGTAGGGTGTCCCAGCCTCTCAGAACTTTTTCTGCTGTTCTCTTGTCCCTGCCTAGCCTGTCCCTGTAGGGCAGTGGCTCTCAGCTAGTGGGTCATGACCCCTTTCATGGGGGTCGCATGTTAGATATTTACATTACGATGCATAAATTACAGTTATGAAGTAACAACAAAAACAATTTTGTGGTTGGGGGGGTCACCACAACATGAGAAACTGTATTAAAGGGTCGCAGTGTTAGGAAGGTTGAGACCACTGCTCTAGGGGCTCTTGAGAAACTGGATCTATAAGATGGAATCCAGGTCACTCACAGTCCCTGTGTCCCTCAGAAAAGTAGGCAGAGACCCTTAAAACCTATATTTCAAAAGTGTGATGTTGGTACATTCAGGAGCCTAGAGCATGGAGATATATATATATATATATATATATATATATATATATATATATTCTTGCTCTGTCCCATAGTTTACCTTTGGTGGAAGCAGACTCTGTGTTCTGACCTCTCAGTTGGGCAAAGGGAGATAGATGGTTTGGCATTTCAGAGCTCTGGCTGTTCTTCTAAAAGTCCCGAATTTGATTTCCAGCACCTCCATGGTGCCTTACAACTGTCTATATTCCAGTCCCAAGGGATCCAACATCCTCTTCCGGCCTCTGGAGGTCCTGCACGCATGCAGTGCACAGACACGCATGCTGGCAAACACCCACTTTTAGAAAATAAAAGTGAAGAAAAGAAGTCTTCCACAGACAACTTACAAGTTTTACCAACTCATAGCTCTCCAGGGGTCCTCAGGCCTATTCTGGCCTGAAACCTGTTTCCTATAAACACTAGAAAATTCTGGTCAGCAACCATATGGGCCCTCAACGTATACCACGGCAGAGAGGGATGGCGTTGTCCCACGTGCCGCCCATCAACCCACACAGCTGTAAAATATTTATCTCCGTTCTGCATCTGGACCCTGGCCTAATAAATTCCTCTAAAGGTATGCAGCCTACGTGGCCAGCTTCTGTAGATGTTAGGGGAGGCCAGGAACGCAGAGGCAAAGGGAGAGTTATTACGCTGACTCAGGACAGGGACAGAGGACAGCAGGATCTAAAACGTTAGGGTTGGAGTAAGTTAATGAGCTACTAAAAAGTAATGCGGGACAATCAAATGTTGAAGCTGAAGTAAAAGCGGGGGGGGGGGGGTCTCTCAGGTCCCCTGTGGCCAAGTTGACTTGTGTTGCGGAGAGAGAGCATTCATTGGCTGTCGAAACAGATGCGCTGGCCTTCAGCCGCCACATCTCTGGTTAAATCACTTCATCTCTCTGAGTCTTTGTTTCATGGTCAAAAACTGAGGCATCTGAACATGAATAACAAAAACGGCTTTTTAAAAACGGGGCAGGGACTCTAAATAGATATTTCTGTAAAGAGGTGTACAACCGGCCAGGAAGCAGATGAAAAGACGACGATGCTATAGGCATCAGTCGTTCGGGAAATGCAAATGAATTGTTACACACATCAGGATGATGAGTTCAACACAATAAACAAACCAACAAGTTAGGTGAAGGTTTATGAGGATATGAGAACCTTTGTGTCGCTACTGGCGAAGAAGCAGAGTGGGTACGGCCATTATGGGAAATAGTGTGGGGTTGGTGAGATGGCTCAGTGGGCGGAGGTGTTGGAGTTCTATACCAGGAGCCCCAGAGTCGAAGGAAGAAATTGATTTCCTCTGACCTCCACGCATGCATACACACACACGATTAAAAATAACAAAATAAATCTGAAAAAAGTTTATCCTTGCTAGGCATGATGGCTTTTAAATCCCAGCACTAGGGAGGCAGAGGAGGTGGATCTCTGTGAGTTCAAGGCCAACCGGGTCTACAGAGCAAGCTGCAAGACAGTCAGCACTACACAGAGAGACACTGTCTCAAAAACAACAAACAAACAAACAAACGAAACTCTACTTGTTTCCTAACCTCGTGGTCAAGCATGAATTCAGACAAAACAAGGGGTGAGCCATCAGCCCCAGGAAACCAGCCAAGGAGCCTGAATCTCAGGGGCCTCCCGGAAATCAGACGAACATCCTAGCCACCAGTCAGGCAGCCTGCAACACTGCCCCATGTTCAGATACTATCTAAATGGAATGTTATAATAGTATTAAATATTAATATTAAATGACAGTAAAGCACACATATCAACTTGGCTGAATCTCACAAATATTTGATTGAAAAAAATAAAACATACACATACGTTTGTATGAAAAAAGTCTAGCTCCTTTGTCTTCAGTTTTTGTCGTGAATCAACTATTTGTATATGTTTGGAGCTGTTTTGGGGCTTTCTAGTTTATTTCATTCTAGTTTATTCCTTTGCCTACCTGGTCCCCAAATGCCACCATTTACTACATGGTTTTGGTATCTAGTCAAAGAAACTCCTTCCTGAGTACTGGTATTTAAAAACAATTTTACGTCTCTCTGTGTGTACATGTGCATGCATATGTACAGACACATGTGCAGGTGTGAGCATGGCCTGCAAGTGGGGTCAGAGGGCACTCCGTGGACTTGTTTCTCTCCTTCCACCTTCTGGGTTTCGGGGATTGAACTCTGGTCTTCAGGCTTGAATGGAAACCACTTTCACTGGCAGAGCCATCTCATTGGCTCCCTTCCTTATGGTTATTTTTATTTCCAAAACTAGCTTATCCAGGTTCTGCCAGCAAATGAGGGAAATTTCTTTCACTGGAAATGCCAATATCTATCTATCTATCGATCGATCTATCGATCTATTATCATCTATCTATCTATCGATCTATCTATCTATCATCTATCTATCATCTATTTATCATCTATCTATTATCATCTATCTATCATCTATCTATCTATCTATCTATCTATCTATCTATCTATTATCTACCTATCATCTATCTACCATCTATCATTTATCTAGTAGGTTTGGAGAGAACTGGCGTCTTTATGTTATTCATGGATTTCCATCTCCATGATATCTTAGAGTTTTCCAAATATAACAGAATATCAACCCCAGCTTCTGGGGCATCAGAGCAGAGTCAGGGGTCCTGGCCCCAGGACAGTTGCTCCAGTCTTGAGAAGCTTCACTTGCCCACCCTAACAGCTGCAGGACTATTACCAATCTTTGTACGTGACCCAGCGAGGGAAGCATTAGGAAATAGTGAAAGGTGTTTTTAGCTTTGTGTTTCCGACCAGTGGCACAGGATACTGAGCTGCCAATAGGCAGGGTACCATTCACGGTGTCCCAAACATCACCGTGTGCTTCTAGCCCATCCATTCTCATACATGTTGCTACACTGTGCGCTCAGAAGTAAGAGGACTGATTCTTTCAAACATGAAGCAGCCCTGTGCCCTGAATGTTTACTAGATCTGGATGGCTATAAAAGTCTTCTTGGAAGCTGGAAAGGTGGCTGAGTGGCTAAGAGTACTGGCTACTTTTCCAGAGGACTTGGGTTCAATTCCCAGTACCCACAGGGTGGCTCACAACTGTCTGTAACTCCAGACAGTTCCAAGGGATCTGGTGTTCTCTTCTAGACTCGCTGGGAACCAGTATGCATGCGGTACATAGACGCACACCCGGGCAAAACACCCATATAAATAAATAAAGTTAAAAAAATAAATCTAAAAGAAAACACAAGTCTCTGTCCTTGAGGAACTGATATTCTGGCAGGAGGGACAAAGGGATCAAACAACACAATACTCAAGTCTGAGGACAAAATGGAGCTCAATGAAGAGACCAGGAGGGCAACGAGAAGATGGCTGCCTCAGCCCAGATTCTGGGGAGAAAAAAAAGAAAGTTCTTTGGCAAATTCCTAGTCACAGACCTGCTTTGGATGAGGGGTGGAGAGTGAGGTGCTGGGGTTGAGGATACCTCACACGAAGTCTTTCCTTAACGGAAGCAGCCAGGTAAGCAGTGAACACGGATTGTAGGTGGAAGATTTTTTTACCTTACCTTTCTTCTGCCTGAGCGAAGATAAAGCCTCCAGCTGGAGAGAACAAACCAAAGAAGAAACCATTAACGACTTAATTAGGATTCAATGTTGTATCTTCTTGATGCCAAAGCCCCGGCTGGGCTATGGCTCAGAATTAAGAGCATTGGCCTAGCACAGTAAGGCCTTAGGTTCCATGGCCCGGATTTTGAGAAACAAAACTCAAAACCACCCCTACATCCTATGCTGCAGCCTGTACTCATAGCTTCTTACCTGCAGGACTCTAGAGACAAACCAGAGCTTACACTGCATTATCCTCAAGTGTGAGCTGCAGGGTGTGCATGCGTGTGTGCATGGTGTGTGTGTGTTAAAGCCCAGCAGATTTAGCTGGGCAGTGGTG